TCCAACATATTTTTCTACATCTAAACATTTCCCTAACCACAACAATGAAGTATATGCCTGTAAATAATTTTATTTATAATATATTATACTTTACTATTACAATAGTGAAGTTATTAATAGTGTGATTATATATACATAATGAAAATAATCATTTAAACTATTTTAATAAAACTTTTAAATAATTTTAAAGTCATTATTTACCATAAATCCAGATGATTCCTATTATTTCCAATATAGCTGCAATCAAAATGCCCCATCCGGCACAGAAGTGATCAATCAGATTAACCCAATAAATTCCAGCCTACCAAAAAAAAAGCCAGTTACTTCTAATTATCTAATTATTTTTGTGTTTGATGAAGTGTTCAAATTGAATCTATTAATTTTTTCTTATTTATTTATTTATTGTCTCTTTTTAGTTATAATATATATATATATTTCTAGTTAGGACCCCATTCTTGTGGATGTACATGATGGTGGGATTCACTGTGTTGTTTTCATATGTGTTCATAGGAAAATTTGACTTTAACATATGCTCCTTAGCTTCACTTCTGCTAAAATATGGAAAAGAATGTTTCAAATACAAACAAAAATATGGTTTTAACTATCTCAAAAACATTTTTTTCTATACGGAGTTATTGGGAAAAAATAAGCATTTAAAAGAGCTGATTGTCAAGATGGTATGTAATATCTATAGGCTCTATAGTAGCTACCAAGAAACTTACAGTGTATGTTTAAAGTCTATAATCTTGTTATAATCTGTATGAAACTGTCATTACTGGGCCTCTTCCTCTGTAAAATATTAACAAAGTTACAGTGGGAAGAAATGGTCTAAAACTTGAAAAACCTTAATCCAAGTAGAACTTAGACTTTTCACTAAACACCATCTTAAATCTTTTTTTTTCATTTAGATTCTGACATATGTCCCAATTAATACTTTGTCTATGAAAAGAAAAAGCTGTAGTATACCTGAGTCACACAGACGAGACCAAGGAGAAACAAAACCAAGCAGCAACCCAAAGTTATAGGAATCCTCATTTTCTTCATTACTTTGGGAAATAAATCTTGAATTGTTGTTGTAATTGTTTCTTTGGTGGGAAAAATGACATATGTCAACTCAGTAAGGTTAATCACAGAATTTAACTTTTATTAATCACATTTACAAATATTTGTGGAGAATATACTTTGAGCTCTACTTATTTTTTTGTTTTGATTTTTTGTTTTGTTTTGTTGGTTTGTTTTTGTTTTTAATCTTAGAGTCCTTTATCTTACAACTCACCACTTGTTGATTCTGATGAAAATAAAAAGCATCACTATTTGTTATTTGTTTTATAAGGATTTTTTATTGGTGACAACTGTAAAGTCATTGGGGGGCTAAAGTAGTTTGAAAAAGAGTTATAGGGAAGGAAAATTCTAATGAGAATTTAATCAGGTGCATATTAGAATTAGTTGGCATTGGAGATAAAAAAGATCTTAGATTTAAGAAATAAATGTATCCATTAAATAGGGAACTGGCTAAGAGGAGAAGGATGAGTAAAAGTATTAGGAAATGTATTTGAAATTTATAAGGACTTTAAAAGTCAACTAAAGGAACCTGGATTTTGTCCTATAAAGAGTAAACTATGAAAATTTTTATGTAAGAAAATGATATGATGAAAACTATTTCATAATAATTGGTTGTATACCTTAGTGAAAATTCCTTTGTGTAACATGAATAAGGATAGTCATTGCAGCAGTGTGTGTCAGGGGGGAAAAAAAGGAATTCAAATGCCTAACAAAATGGCAACAGATTGTTGATTAAATAGATCTATATGTCAATGTAGCAACATGGATTCAAATAGATGTAAAAACCTGTCAGAGTAATATATATATTACATACACACATATACACATTAACTTGACATTTATGTGAAATATTTAAATGTATATTATTTATGGATATATGTACAATTTATGCAAACATAGACTAAATAACACACAATCCATGGTGATGGTTGCCTCTAGGAAAAAACATGTAAATTAGTAAGAAACATAGGGGAGGGGCTGGGGTTGTGGCTCAGTGGTAGAGCACTTGCCTAGCACATGCAAGGCCCTGGGTTCAATCCTCAGCACCACATAAAAATAAATAAAATAAAGGTATTGTGTCCAACTACAACTAAAAAATAAATATTAAAAAAACATAAGGGACATAAAATTCACCTGTAATCATTTGTCTTCTAAAAATTATCTGAAGAAAATATGACATAATATTGTTTGTTCCTTTTGAGTGTCAAATAGATGTGTAGTTTATATTTTCCATACTTAAATTTTAAGTTAAAAAATGATTCAGAGTGGCCGTTAGAAGAATTAACAGCTAAAAGGAGGAATAGGATAAGAAAAGGATGTTTTCAAGTAGAGGAAAGATGAATAAAATATGAGGGTAATGTTAACACTGGAGGTACTATTACTTACCAATGGAAGCAAACTGAGAATCGAGACCCAAAGTTAAAAGCATGAAGAAAAATAATATGGACCAAAATGGACCACCTGGGAGTTGGGCTAGAGCTTCTGGATAGGCAATGAATGCTAGATCAAAACCTATGAAAAATGTATAGTGTTTTAAATTAGTTGTCAAGAAAATTCACATATTTGGACACTACAAAATTCTCATCTTGATTTGACAATGCAATCCTTGACAAAAGTTCTTTACCGACTATCTCACATTCACTTTTTAAAGTGTTTAACTTGGTTGTTGTGCAACATTACATTGTGAACATGGGACATGAATTAAGCTAGTGCCTATTTCTCCCATAAGAAATTCAACTATTTTAATGGTTTTGTTCAACTGATTTCCTTTTAAGATTGATGAAGAGTAACAATTGTCTGTATTGTACAAACATAGATTATGTCACCTTAGCTTAAAATTCTAAACGAATTACACTATCTAGAAAGATACACAAATGGAACTTTTTAGTGTTTTTCCAAATGTTTACCCAGAATCATTATGAGCAATGCCTTTTTAATCAGTTTATGGACACCTGCAAAACTGTATGTGAAACTATAGATTGAATCTTGTTTTCTATTTGCTGCTACATTTAAAGATGCTATTCATTTTGTTCCATTTTTATTATGTGATTGTCAGTTTTAACTATTTTAAGTTTCTCTCACTTTCCAGAGGACTGACTTAGAATTTAAAAAATTAGCTTCTAGTCTAGGATCTATCATGTTCCAAATATTTGACCATCTTCAAGATGTAGATTCCTGTGTATTAGTCCCTTATGAGGAGCTAGATACAAGAAGATCTCCAGGGGCTTTCTCTAGTCCTGAAATTTTGTTATAATTTATCAGTATTTCCATCAAATTATACTAACTATAATAACATTTTAATAAGGTGGTCTTAAAATTATTCTAAGAATCTCTAGCCAAATAATTAAACATTTTAAAGTTAAGAAGTTCATTAGGCAGATTCCTTTAAAGCTCACACAGCTGTATATTCAGAATAACTGGAATTTCTATATGATATTGATGTGTTTAGAAATTCAGATCTGATGTGTAGTTTGCATAGGGGAATTTGAAATGTTTTCTCTCTCACAATACATGGAATGTGCTTACTATAATTCCTGAAACTTATAATTTTGCAGGAAGTGGTTCATACTAAACAAAATCCAGAAAAGGATTGTGTCTTCTTAAACAATGTTTCTCGTTTACATAAATCATCTAAGAATTATCATATCATTTAAACAAACTGCATTATATGAAATGATAAAGAAAATACAAGATCCTAAATCATTAATGTAAATTGCTATCAACCATATTAGACTGTAAGTGAGCTACATTAATCAAATTTTATAACACATAGCATTACATACCTGATTTTACAACTTGAGAGACTTCCTGTCCAGATATATGAGCCATGTGTCCCAATATAGAAAAAATAGCAAATCCAGCAAACACACTAGTGAGGCAGTTTGTCAAACAAACTACAATGGCATCAGAAAAGCAGTTGTTATTGAACTTATTGTAAGATGACAGAGCAACTAAGCCACCCCAAGCCACTGAAAGGGAGTAAAATATCTGGGTGGCAGCATCTTTCCAAACCTGCAAGAGAAAATTAATTTTTTTAAACATGTGCTCTTAATTTTTCATTTGTATAAAATATTTTATATATATAAATACATATTATAAAACAATGAAATGAATATCAAGTACCCACTACCTAGCTTAATAAAATGTTACTAGTCTCTTAAAGCCTTCTTGTGTCTCTCCCTAACTGTATCACCCTTCCTGCAGTGCTGACTGGAGTTTATCATTTCCTGTTCTTTGTGTTTAACTTTTCTTGGTTTTAAATTCATAAAAAATCATATTAATGGATGTAAACTTTACAATTTACTTTTTCATTCAGTAATATTAACTTTTTCCAATATCAAGTTGAGGCATATAAAATTTCAAAATTTTGTAATTCAATAATGAAAGAACATAGGCAAATCCATGTGGCTCAATTAAATACATGTGGCTTTAATAATTTTTTCACTTCTCTACTGCCCCAGTGTATATATCACAATTTATCCTTTTTTCTGTTGGTGGACATTAGGTTGCTCAATATTTTGTTATTATATAGCTATGAACATTCTTGTACCTGCATCCTTATAATCTAGGTTGGGAAGTGTGATGTCAAAAATTACATGTATTCTTTCTTTTACTAACTCTGCAAATTGCTTTCCAGAATGACCGAATCACTTTGTACTTCCACAGCTCATTTGAGAGTTCACATTCCTCTACATCCTTGCCAGCATTTGGTCAGAATTTTTAATTTGATCCAATCTAGTGGCTGTGAAATAAGAATTCTGATTATTCTTGTTACATACAAGGGCTAGTGTGGTTTTAATTATTTATTTTCCATATGAATTTTTTTCATATAAAACTTCTGTTCAGTCTTTATTTTTTGATTGGGTTATATGCCTTATTTGATTTCTAGGAATTCTTTATGTAATTTGATTCTAATCCTTTGTCTATCATATATATTGAATTTTTCTCTCAACTTGTGGCTTTTTTTCACCTCATTGTGTTTTTTGATAAACCAGAGTCTTTGTTGTTGATTTAACATAGCTGAAGGTATCCATCTTTGCTTGTATGTGTGGGCCATGATGCCTATTATTTAACAAAATACTGCCCAAGGTTATAAAGATACTATTTATATCTCATTCTGAAAGAAAAAAATTTGCTTATCTATTAAAATTTCAATTCACCCTAATTTTTATTGTGCATATTAACACATGGAATTCCTAGTAATCCTAAGTGGGATATCAACAGTACAAGTATAATAGATATTATCAATCATATATATTCAATATGAATTGTGTATCGGTGTTATCAATTGGATAATCATTCTTTCCCCATTGATCTGCATTGCCACCTCTGCCATATATCAAGTTCCATTTAATTATGAATCTAATTCTGAAATTAATATTCTATTCCAGTGGTGTATGTCAATACCTATGTACCACTCTATTTTAATAAATACAATGTTATAATATTGTTTCACATCCAATAGGTCAACTCCTCTTCACTTTTTCTGTGTTGAGAATTTGATTGGAATTCTATCAACACTACATATCAATTACAGTCACATTCTATTGACTCTACATATAGAGTAATAATAAAAACACATTCTTAGCATGGCTAGTACTTGCTGACCCCTCATACTTCATTAATCCTACCTCGTTTTCATTCCTCTTTTCACAATTTACCCTTTCTATGTTTTTGTTAAAGGTCATTAATTAATTTTAGAAAATGATTTAGGTTAATCCATTTTAAGATTGAAATGCTTTGATATAGCATTACCCCAAAAGGAAAAAAATAGTTGTGCTGATTTCAAAAAATAGAGCTGGTATATATTGAGGCAAAAATGTCTTTTTCATTCCTTAAAAATCAGATTGATCAGTATAACATGGTGACTAAGTGTTCTGTCTCTGGAGTCAGAAAAATGTTTACATCTAATACTTCTCACTCCCTTTGACCTCACTTTATTTAACCTCTTTAAGTATGTTTCTTCATCTGTAAGATAGATTTTAATAATAACGATAATAATAGTAACAATAATATCATCCAAGGAATGACATGAGAAAGAAATGAGATAACACATGCAAAGCAACTAATAAGATGCTCAATGATAGCTGCTATTGTTATTGTGAGAAATAAAATAAGTTGATGTGCAGTTTCTTATTTAGAAATTAAAAGTAATAATTTTCCCCTTCAATATTATTTCAACAGAAGGAAAGTTGTTAGGGAGTGAAACATTACTAGGCCTTCAGAATACAGTTTGATGTTCGATTGTAGGAAGTCAGCATGAAGCAAGATGGATGGATAGATATATAATAAGACATAGAAAAATAGCTAGAAGTACATGCATAGATCAAGGTTATTTGACTTACATATAACAAAATCCTGTTAGAAGTAAAATATCCTTTTATTTATTAGGCTGTTTTCCATCTTAAGAGATAAATAGCATGTCTCTGAGCCTCTTTCACTTGATATATTATGTATGCATATGGGAGCTGGAGGTGGCTATAGCAGTTCTAGGATATGTAAGAATGCTACTCTATACCATCATGTTTTCTTCAATTACAAACAAATATGGACAGAAATTCCAAACATAGTTATGACCCCCTTATCAATCAATATCATACACATACACAAGATTATTAGGGATTATGAAATCTTAATTCAATTTTCACTAACTGTGTACACTTGACTCAATTTGAATCTTTCTGGGTCTTAAATTCATCACCATAAAATGAGGGAGTTAGTAAAATATTCTCTAAAGACCCTTCTAATTATTAATTTGTAAAGTTCTCTATTTTCCTGAAAATTTCAGTAGAATTCATATATCCCAAGAAAAGTTTAAAGTATATACTTATTATCTCATGTTTAGAATATGAATTGTGAGGAATAAAAAAATATCTAAGAAAAACAATTCTCATTGTGAGGAAACCCAAAAGAAGAGTGGGGTTGTGTTGTATTGGGGAGTAGATGGAGTAGAGAAATAAATTGTATCTTTCACAAGGAGCTTTATGTAGAGGTCTTATTTTTTAAATAAAGACATTGAAGCACAGAACAATATAAAATAGTCATGTATGTTTTTCAGGAAAGTTTCAAGGAAGTACAAAGACAAGATGTCTGAAGCTTTTTAAAGCCACTTAAAGAATATCAAAGAGGCTTTGCTCAAAGTAATGAAGTTTAAGAAAATGGGGGGTCTATTTCTTAGGGAAAATATTGCAGCTATAATAACATAACATCAATAGTTGAAATAATTGGATATTATTTCTTAGTTATATGAGTTTACCATTTCTAAAACGCATTAACTTGTTTTATCTTGTTTAATAACCTAACAGAGAGAAGGTGATGAATCCCAACTACCGTTTTATTTGTTTCTTATTCACCGCCGAAAATGGTCTTTGAGTTGGGAAGAGATTAACAAACAAGGTTAAAAAGAGTGAGGCCCAAGATAAATGAAGAAATGCATTAAGATGGCCTGTGGACACATCAGAATACATTAACCTCCAAGACTAAAAATAATAAAATGTCATAATTCCAACATAATTTAGAGCTATTGTGGTTCATCATTGAGTGAAAATTATTGGGCACAATAAAAGAACCAAAGACCAGAGATTGGCATTTCATATTTCAAAAAGGTAAATGATAGGTTTCAATGACTAAAATCTAATGACTTGACATTACTTACCAGAAATATCCTACAACAATTAATTAAATATAATCTGATTCCATTTTTAAAATGGCTGGAAATTAGCATGATTTCCACAAAGAATACCATAGTAATCTAAAAGTAATATCCATTTTGGTCAGTACTCATGTGGCAGATATTAATATATTGTTTCTTGACTTTAACATAAGATTGTGAATTTTTAGCTGACCAGAAGCTTAATATGTGACAAGTATGTGATGCAACTACTAAAAGAGTGAAAGCCTTCTTAGGCTGTATCAACTGAATAGATGTATTATTGTCAACATTCTCTGTAGTTAAAATTGTGAAAGATTTTTATGTACCCACGACACACAGCCATTATCTGGAGATAGACTAAGTTTAAAGGGTATTACCTAGTTCATATTCTTGGCACATGTTTACATTTTTGGAATAAATTTTAGAGAATGCTTAATCCATGTCAAATTGAAACACATTAATCCATATGTTTTAATTTTTAATCCATTAGGCAAAATTTGATCTTGCTTTTGGAATATTAACTTATGAATACAACTAAAAAGAAAAATTAAAAATGCATACTAGACCATTAAACTTTCAACAGTGATCTTTAAAGCTACTATGAATTTATCCAATAAATCACATAGTACTAATCATCATTTGCAGGTATTTATGCATAAAATATTTTCACATTAATAAACACCAAACCCTGTTGGTCAAGCAAAATCATTAACATGAATAAAACAATTGTTTAAATTTTATTGTTAAAAATTATGTTCTTAAATTCAATAAGATAATTAAGATCATGTTACATAAGTTAATCAGAAACTCTAGTGGACAGAAACTCAAATATATTTAACTGAATATTCTTTCACAAAGCACAATGACACTCATGCAACCAAAGAGTTTTGGTATATGATTTTAAGATTTACCTCCTCAGATAACATTAAATTCAAATTAAGTCTTACCTCTGCTTCACTGAGTTTTGTAAAATTTGATTGTGCTCCAATATAGTATGAAATTCCTTTTGATGCACCCTCTAGAGTTGCACCTCGTATTAACAGAATGAGTAAGACCACATAGGGAAAAAGAGCTGTAAAATATACCACCTACCAAAAAGATAACAAAAGCCAATGTTATTTTTAAAGCACAGTATTTAACTGTATATAGGTAAAATTATTAGATGGATGAGATTAGTAAAATAAAGTACTGGAGATTTTATAAAGTTATTAATAAAGGTACTGATAATACCAGTACCAAAGTTGGCATAATTTCCTATTTCTATTCTCACTTTCAAATCATCCATTTCAAAAAAACACTTTGATGTTGAAGCAGTATTTCCTAGGCTCATTGTTGTAAATTAACAGTACATTAGCAGTGATAACTTGTGATCTATTTGGGATGTTTTCCTAAATATATATTTATAAATGTCTAAGAGGACTGAATGTTTCCTTTCAAGAAAATTATTGAGGTGAGAAGGGAAATGATTTTAAAAAATCTACAATAATTAGTACATATTCAGCTCCTAATAAGAAGGACAATATCTTATAGATATCCAAATCTCTTAAATAATTTATTAAAGTGAATAGTGAACACTTGTTACTTAAAGCTACCATTCAGAGAGTTTGATAGCATACAAATACACTGCTTCTGTCCTAAATAACATATGGTTCCAGATGAACAGATTTTGCCTTTAAGGCTGGCTTTTCATTAATGTGGATGATTTCTTTGATCCATAGTTGTCCCATGTTTGATAATATGCCCAAAGAGATTATTTAAATAAGTCATCCAGAGACCAATAAAAATTAATTGCCAGGATAAATGGCCTGTAATGGACTCTTCCAATATTAACATCAAAAAGGAAGCAAGGGCTTAAAAAATGTGCAATTAGAACATGTCAGAAAGTTTCCACTGTTTTTGTGATGTTCACAGTATTTTTTGTGATGTAATTGCATGTCTCATTATGACTTAACATTAGTTGAATTTGCTGGATAATGTACTAGGAATACAAAGATAGTGTCCACAGTTATCCTGTCCTCTACCTTTAAGAAAATTTCAATCTAATAATTAAAGAAACATTCCCTTTTCTGGGTACCATGTAACTTGTTCACAGAGAAAATTTCACAGTGTTCTTTTAAATTGCCATTGTGCTCTCCGAAAGTCTTTTAAAAAATAAAACAATTAAGAGGGAAAATGTAACAATGTTTTTCAGAAGAGGCCTTTCACTGAGAGAGAAGATTCTGAGTCAATATTGGAAAACTTTCATTTAGAAGAATAATTTCATGGTATTTTTTCTATTTCTTTCCAACAAGGACGTCTTGGTACTATTACTCCACATGGATCTAGACTTGTCAAACCAAAAATTACGACACTATATAATTCCACTCAAGATGCTTATTTATATGGTAGGTCAGAAAACAGAAAAAAATACTCTCAAGCTTCACAATTCTGTAGCAGCACAATTTTAGTATTACTTTTTGTTCATTTTAACAATAGCAATGATCCTATGTATTTATTTAAAACTAAAATCCCTACTTAGAAAACTTTTACATGCTCATATGTCTCCATTGTAGAAAATATGCATCTGATAATTGCTTGAGTTTGAACTTCAATGAAATTGGAAAGCAGCTACCATCACTAATTAATGTGTTTCCCAAATTACCTTGCCAGAAGACTTGATTCCTTTAAATAATGCTGCTCCAACTATGATCCAAGCCAGAAGAAGGCAAAGTGCTAAATACCACACAATTTCTCCAGTTTCATCCATTCCACTGGACCGTTGAAGTGCCACTTTACTGAAACACATAAGCCCTTTTATGAACACAGAATCATTTGTCTTTTAAAATATTGAATTTTTAAAATAGTTCATCTAAAGGAAGCTTCATGTGTATTGTAGTTTATTAATACATACATGTCCTGTGAGCCTTTCATTGACAGATTCTATTGTATAATTCAAATTTCTTTATGTAAAGAAATTAACCTTATATGCCTTCATTTGACTCAATATTTTTCAAATTAAAATGATGAAGAAAATAGCTAAAATTGTATCAAATATTTCCTTATTCCATACTTGTAGATATTATTAAACTCAAATGGCTGCTTTATTCATGTTTTTCAAAAACATTTGGCAAAATTCTATGATTTTCCACAGCAACATGTATGGATCTAGAATTTTAATTCTTAGCTGGCTGATTGAGAGCATTCAACATCAAAATTTTAGAAATTCATATTTTAAAAAACAGTCTATAGCTTCCTCAAAAAATAAAATAAACAATAAAAATATCATCTAGTTTGGAAATCCTGCTAGTGTATATATATGCAAAGGACATTGAATCAGCATAAACCTGCACTATTATATTTATTAAAGTATTATTCACAATAGTCAAGAAATAGAAATAACCTAAATGTCCATGAACTGATGAATAGATAAAGAAAATGTGGTATATATACATAATGGAATAGTATTACACCATTAAAAAGGATGAAATTCTGTCATAACAACATGGAAGAATTGGAGGTCATTATGTTAAGTGAAATGAATCAGGCACAGAAAGACAGGTATTGCATGATTTTACTCATATATGGTATCTAAAAAAGTTTATCTCATAGAGCTACCAGAGACTGGGGGGAGTAGGGTAGGGGAAGATGATCACTGGTTACTAAGTTATAGTTAGGAGATGATCAATGGTTACTAAAATGATCAATGGTTACTAAGTTATAGTTAGGAGAAAGAAGTTCTGGTGTGTTATAGCAGAGTAAAATAACTATAGCTAACAATAATGTATTATATATCAAAAAGCTAGAAGGAAAGACTTTGAATGTTTTTATCATTATCATAAAGAAATGAAAACTGATAAAACACTTGAGAGTTCATCTAACCAAGGAGGTAAAAGTGTATGATGAAAATTATGGAATTCTGAAGGAAGAAACTGAATAAGGCATTAGAAGATGGAAAGATCTCCCATGCTCTTAAATTGGCAGAATTAATATTGTCAAAATGTCCATACTACCCAAAGTGCTACATAAATTTAATGCAACTCCTATTAAAGTCCCAATGACATTCTTCACAAACTAGAAAAGAAAAGTTCTAAAATTTATTTGGAAGAATAGGAAACCCAGAACAGCTAAAGCAATAGTGACCAAGAAAAGTGATGCAGTAGGCATCATAATACCTGATCTCAAATTATACAATAGAGCTATAGTAATAAAAAAAAAAACCCAACATGGTATTGGCATCAAAATAGATGTAAAGACCAATGGAACAGAATAGAAGGCACATAGCAAACCCACATACTTAACATTCATCTGATACTTGACAAAGGTGCCATGAATAAATTTTGGAGAAAGGACAAACTGGATAGCTATAGGAAGAAAAATGAAACTAAACTTCTCTCATCCTGCACAAAAGTCAAATCAAAATAGACCAAGTACTTTGGAATTAGACCAGAAACATTGCAACTTCTAGAAGAAAACATAGGGCCAACACTACAATCCAAGAAATAAAATCAAGAATCAGTAAGTGACATGCCATCAAATTAAAAGCTTTTGCACAGCAAAGGAAACAAGAATATGAATAGAAGACTACAGAATGGGATAAAATCTTTGCCAGCTGCTTCTCTGAGGATTAATATTGAGAATATATAAAGAATTCAACAATTTTAACACGGAAAAAATCAATAAATTGGCAAATGAACTAAAAAAATTCTAAAAAGAAGAAACACAGATGACCAACAAATAAATGAAACAATGTTCAACATCTCTAGCAATCAGGGAAATGCAAATCAAAACAACACTAAGACTTCACCATATTCTCGTCAGAATGGCAATTAAGAACACAAATAACAGCACAATCCACAGTAGCTAAACTGTAGAACCAGTCTTGATGCCCTTCAGTAGATGAATGGATAAAAAATATTACTCAACATTAAAAGATAATAAAATCATGGTATTTCCAAGTAAATGGAGGGAGCTGGAGAATATAATGCTAAGTGAAATTAGCCAATTCCCCAAAAAACAAATGCTGAATGATTTCTCTGATTTAAGGATGCTGATTCATAATATGCTGCAGGGGGTGGCGGGGAGGAGAAGAGGAGGATTAAATGAACATCAAATAGGGCAAAGGGGAAAAGGGAAGGGAGGGGGCATAGGAGTAGGAAAGATAGATGGAATGCGATGGTCATCAATACCCTAAGTACATGTATGAAGACATGAAGGATGTGACTCTACTTTGTGTACAACCAAAGATATGAAAAATTGTGCTCTATATATGTAATATGAATTGTAATGCATTCTGTTGTCATAATTAACAAATTAAAATTTTAAATTTTAAAAAATAATAAGTACACAAATAATAATAAATGCTTATGGGGGGAAGGTATAGTGATACATTGTTGGTGGGACTGCAAACTAGTATAACCACTCAGAAAAGCAGTATGGAGATTTTTTAAAACACTAAGAATGCAATTACCATGTGACCCAGGTGTAGTACTCTTTGGTATTTTCCCAAAAGATCTAAAATCAGTATATTGTCTCAATACAACCATATCAGTGTTTATAACAACATTGCTCACAATAGCTAAATTATAGAAACAACTCAGGTATCCATCAATAGATGAATGGATTAAGAAATTTTGGTGTATACATGCACAATGGAGTTTTACTCAGCCAAAAAGAAGAATGAAATTAAGGCATTTGCTTATAAATGGATGGAAATGGAGAACATCATGCTAAATAAAATAAGCCAACATAGAAAATCAAAAGTCAAATGTTTTCTCACATGTGCAAGCCAGAGTAAAATAAAGGAGAGAAGTATGAGAAGATTGGATATTACAAAGATATAAGGAAGGTCAGTAATTCAAGAAGGAGATGTAGAGGGACAGAGGAGGGATGGGAAAGGGGAAGAAATGTGTAATGAATTCTTAAAATATCATGTCATGTGCATATATAAATATACCACAGGCAATTTCTCTTTATGTATAAGTAGAAACAAGCAATCAAAAATTTTAAAAAAAGATGAGTGAAAGGAAGACCAGTAGAGGAAGGAGAATGGAGTGGGATGGGGGGGGAGGGTTGGAAGAGAAAAGGGGAGGATCCTGACCTGAAATAGAATTCAGTGCATATATAATATTTTTCAGGATAAACCCAACTACTATGTATAACTATAATGCTCTAATAAAAAAATGATAACTGAAGAGTTAGTTGTGTTTTACTTGATTTAAACATTATACAGTGTATAAATGTATTGAAATATCACATGGTAGCTCATTAACAGGCACAATTTATGTTTTTTCTGAATCAGTTTAAAAAATTAAAATACAAAAAAATCATATAGGGCATTTTCATGTAGATGAGGAAGAACTCATTCAACAGTAGTCAAGGATGTAAGGTAAGGGTAATGGATCAGTATAAGGAGAATTGATTTAAAGTTAATAAATTAAATATAACTCCAAATATCTAATTTTACAATACAGTTGCAACTGTAAAAGCCAAATAATTAGGAATTGCAGCTTTAAAAAAGCAATTTTGCTCCCAATATTACCTATCATTCAAATGTACATTATTAGAACTTGCAAACTTATAATTAAAAAATCTACTATTTTTTCTAGTAAATAAAAAATAGATCATTAGTGTCATGCCCACTGAATAACTCATTTATATGAGAAACATGGTTAACTCTGAGCTAATTTTGCAAATAACTACTATTCACCTAGGATAGGTAAACATGTAAACATTTGAATCAAATGAAATATGCTGGTTCCCCTTTTGTATATTTATATGAGGTAAAGAAGGGACTGATCAACAGTCCATTTTTGTTTATAAACATTTTAATAACATCTGTTTAAGAAGTAAATCCTCTAATATACTTACTTCCAGTATTGTTCACTGGGAAGCTGCCCTGGCTGATAAACTTCACTGCCATTGATGCAGGTAAAATTGTTGGCGTGTACCCAGCTCATATTCACTTGCATCTCTGTACCATGTATACTCACATTACAGTGAGTTACTAAAAATTATTAAAAAAAAGAAATATAGACACAGATGTGAATTGAGCTTTTGAAGAGTACTTTCCTGGAAAAAAAGTTACTGATAAATATTTAAGTTACTGACTAAATTGTTAACTTGGTGAAGGCAGACTAAAACATTCTACAAGTAGAAGGAATCATATACATGCAGCATCTTAAATCTTCTCTATTCGTAAGCTTAGAGTGAATATAGTACTATTTGCCTCTTTAAACCATGATAGTATTTGTACAATTAACAGTTATAGAGTAGCTATAATTGTTTTCATTGAGATTTAGTGCTCTAAAAACTTTTAATAGGTGGACTTATCTATCTAAACTATGTAGATAAATTGATGCATTCAAATTTCTCAAAAGCAACAAATCTTTATAACTTTAAGCTCTGGTGTATATAGATAATCACAATGGTAATAGCCTACAACATTGATGCTACTTATCCCAAAGATTACCATCATATCCACATGGACAAAACCCACTGTTTCCTGAAACACACATTATGGATAGCACTTTCTCTATCAGTTTTCCATTTCCTTGCTTCTCTTCTGCCCAGGACTTAAGCCTGCAAGAAGTACTCAGAGGCCTGGTTTAGCCTTCCTTCCTGCCCTCAAATATTAACATGTTAACTAGTTTTCAGATCATACATGCTATATTCTGTTTTAACCAATGACTTATAGCCTACTTAAAATTGGACCTAAATTGATGCTACTTATCCCAACTATTAATCACACCTATTATTCCCTGAAAAACATACTCCTACTATTATGGATAGCATTTTTTTCTCTTCATTAATTTCTAGATTTCTTACTTCTCTCCTACCCAGAAGGATTTAATCCTTCAAGCTTATTTAGAAGATATAAAAGAATGATGTGGACATGATAATATTTTAAAAATTAAATCAGTGAAATTTACCTATAGGTGTTCTGCTACAGTTACTGTCTGACCAAGAAGAACAATTTTTCCATGGTAGTTCACTTTGAAAAGAAGCAAACATGTAGTAAAGACTATAACCAATTATGACATTGTAATAGATCGTCACAAAAATAGATATCAGGACCATTGTAATTCCCACACCTGGAAAAGATAAAAATTAAACAAACTTAAGTGAAATTTATTGTACTAACTCATAAAAAGAAGCTGCATCTTAATTTCCACAAAATCTATTTTAAATTAAAAAACTTTTTCAAATAACTCTTTTTCTTCTTTTGCAGGGGGTGGGTTAGAAGAGGTCAGGGATGGAGAATGTAATACTGAGTAGTTTTATTCCAAAATTTAAAGCTATTTCAATGATTGGTTTTATGAGACAGTTTTTCAGTTGATTAGAAAAGGCATTAAGGTCAAGGGAAGAAGACCTGTATTAAGCCTTCAAATTTACATAAAGCCTATGTCTATTACTCTTCCTCATTAAGTCTATGAATTCTTATCAGAGTGGACAGTGTGGGCATTAAAAACATTCAAAGTCCATGAGCTGGGGCTGTGGCTTAGCGCTAGCACACTTGCCTGGCATGTGTGAGGCACTGGGTTCGATTCTCAGTAGCACATATAAATAAATAAAATAAAGTTCTATCAACAACCAAAAAAACTATTTTAAAAAAAATCCTGGCTTAAAACCTTAAAAAACATTCAAAGCCCATATTCTATTGACACATTGACCAATATTTACATCTTCATCTATAAACCAACATTTTGACAGGCAGAAAATGAAGCCTTTGAATTAATGTTCTGAAGGGACATAGTACAGTATTTCTACAAGTACATGTAAAATAAATTGTATAATTCAGTGAAATTTGAACTTAAACCTGCAAAATTTCTTTAACTCAGTAGTTTCTAAATGCAGTTTAGCAAACTGAATGTAACTCCAATGCTTAAGACTAGCGTTTGAAGTAGCTTTTCTAGTCTTCCAGCACAATATTCTATTCACCTAACCATGAATTTATTTTTGATGTCCCTTTGAGCTTTTTGCAAATATGTTTCAGCAGCTAGCAAATACTAACATGATATTTAATCTTCAGAGAGAAAGGCAGTTTGATATTTAATAACAATAAAGGCATTTTCAGCTTTACTAGTATCCTATTCTATTAGGAGCATCCAAGAAAAAAATAGTGACCTGCCCTACAAGTTTTCTGAAAGAGGCTTTGTAAAAGATGTGCAAAGACAGTGAGACAAAGACTGCAAATGAAGTATTTTAAAAGCCAGAGCTGTTAAGTAAGTGTACAACAAGATGTGCCAAAAGAATTCAAAAGGTGAAAATAGAAAATAGTGGCATCTTTACAACCATCTCTACTGTCCCTTATAACCCTCCCCATATCTGCAGCCACACTAAACACAAACAAAAAAACATTTCATTCATTTTATTCTTAAATTCCACTGTTGCACACTATACAGAAAAATAGCAATGTGTGCTTCTTGAGCTCCTTTGGCCGGATTTTATTTTTTGTACTTTTTATTTTTTCAATTGACAGATAAAATTGTATGTACTTTTCATGATGTTTGAAGTATATGTACAATGTGGAATGATCAAATCTAGCTAATTAACAAATACATTACATACATAGTTGCCATTTAATTGGTGAGAACACTTAATCTCTAGTCTATCTTTGAGAGTATACTATTGGCATCAATTATAGTCACCATACTATGACTTCTAAAATTACAGAGTTGTAGATTATAGATGTCTTGAACTTATTTCTCCTAACTCTACCCATACATTTTTTCATCTATTTCCCAACCTCTAGTAACCACCATTCTGTTCTCACATTCTTCTGAGATCAAACATGTCCAAATTTTAACACTTTTTCTCCCACATAGTGAATGAGGCTATATATACACATTGACTAATAAGCATGATGCTGAAAATGTTTTCAAACCTACCTTGAAACAATGGCAAAATCCTCCAAACTGAAACTGGACCTAAACTAGCAAATTGTCCCAATGAACACTCTAGGAAGAACAAAGGTAAACCAGCCAATGCCAGCATAATTGCATAAGGTATCAAGAAGGCACCTAGAAAAGGCAAAAAAGAACAAAAATGCTATTACATTTCAAAATCTTCATGGCACTTTGACAACCAGCATAACATTTTAAGTGTCCTGGTACAGTAGAATCAATGTGTTCCAGGTGTGGGTCTCAAATTTACTACTTTCTATGATTCTCTAAACCTTGGATTTCTCATCTATGAAATGGTCATGCTAGTATTACCTAATGAAGTGGTTACAATTATTAAAAATAATAGTCTATAAATGTAAACTAGAGGAGTTGAATGAACACAGGTATGGAGCCAGAGGGACTTAGGTTAAAATGCTGCCTCTATCACTTCTTAGTTATGTGACCTGGGGCAGTTTATCTAACCTACGAAACCTGTGCACCTCATAAAAGTGGAGAGCAATACCAACTCAACAATTTTGGGTAAGGGTTCAAATACTGGGCCTATATAAAAACAGTTGACAACATGTCAGGCATATAAATCGCCAATTTTTAATACAGGGTACAAATGCTAAGTGTGGTTCAGAGTGGAAGTTATTATGATTAAGTTCATTATTCTCAAAATAGCCATGAGGCTCTTTACTCAATAAGAAATTTATTGGTTTCGAGAGAATAATCTAAACTGAATAGTTAACTTTCAATTTCAGAGAAATTAATTCTTCCATATTAAATTATCCAGCCCTTCTCCCCCACCCCAACCCCTTTTAAAACTTTTTAATAGTTTGTTTTCGTTCTGTCTGCTTTGGGGCATAATATTGTTCACTAAAACCTTTACCAGATTTTAAATTGAAGCAGAAACAGAATATTAAACCTATTAGTCAAATATTCTGAATGTCTTGGCAAAGTTTAATAAAAGCAATGCGAATAAAAATAGGATTAGATACATTTCATTTACTCATGTCTATAGTTTTTCCTCAAGTATTTTTCATATTATGATACTGTAACATCATAACTGTGAATTATATGTTTTTCAGCCCTTAAAATAGAGTCTATGTAAAATGAGACAATCAAGTACAGACTCATATTTAAGTGGCTTTACTTTAATGCTAACCCTGGAAGACATAGGGAAGAATGTCTGAATAGATGTTGCAATGGGTATACCATCACTAATATGACTAACAGAATTTTAAGTCCTACCAAAGATAAATATGAAGAAAATATTACACATTACCTACAATAATAAAGTTTTACTAGCCTTGTGTGGACAGATATTTTTAAAAAGTGATTATTTTCCTTAGTTTTATATATGACTTTTCACCTATTATTGTATTTCATGACCAATGATGACTATGATTGATAAGTTGTTAACATAGTAGCCACATACTATTAATACTGCTGGTCTAGATCTTAAGATAACATGACACTTTCTCTTTCATAAACTGTTAAAAAGAATCTGCAGATTAAAACATTCCAGATTTACAATAGTTTTCCAAACCTGACCATATTTCTTAAACCTGATCAATTAACATTTAACAAATTCGAATTTCGTGTTACATTTCCACCCTTGAGTGAAAAAAAAGAAGGAATTGAGAGAGTCTAGATCATTGATGACCCAAATGATATCTTAAAAACTGAGAGTCAATAGGGCATATCAACTTTTAAAGGAAATGGTAAAAAAAAAAAAAAAGATAAACGCATATGCTAAATAATACTATTTTGTTTTGGCAATATTTTAAAATTCTCAATTACAACTAGTTTATGCAATTCCTAGAAATTAATGGCAATTGTTCAGTGTATGTGTGCTGTCAAATCAAAGGGAAGTTCTTATTCAAATCGGTGAGGTCAAGAAGCTCAAAAGAAGCCTAATGCTTCTCTTCACCACACTGGATGTTAGGACATAAGACACCAAAAGGACTGGGATTTCTGACTCATTTGCCAACTCTTACATCAAACCCACTACTGAATGACCCAAGTCCTACATAGAGGATTTTATGCTACCTACACTTAAAGTGTTTAGTAAAGATCTGCTTTCTTAAGTATCTGAAGGAGAATGTGAACATTTTAATTCATCAAATTGGCAAGAAACGGAACATTGAAATATTACAAAAAATCTTATTGTACAAAGGAAAAATAATTATAGTGGCACACATTCACTGGTACCCAGTTATGAAATGTGATGGCATGTCATCTCTACACTTCTAATAGAACCTGCAATTATAAGTAAATAAATATGGTGTAAGTGAAAAGATATTTCAACATTACTAAAGAATTGTGCAATTCATTTTATTTCCCTTTGCATGTCACCTCAGTTATTTTTTCTTCTAATTGATCCTACTTTAATGATGTTGCAAGAATAAAACATATAGCCTTGAACTAAACTCTGTTGCATCTTAGAAGGATCTCCTACATAGTCAATCCAATTTGGAATATGTATAACCAAAGATTGCAATTTAAAAATACTAAACCTTTAATTACATTTATCATCTCTCTCCACAGTTAAAATAACAAAATGTAATGCCTTGTTTTAGTTAGGCAAACAATTCATTTGAGTCTCATAATAGAACTATATGTCCCTTTTTTTCTTTGATTTAGCTATAAATAAATTAACAACTTGAATTTGAACAGATTTTTCACAGGAAGATGTACACATTTTTTAAAGTCCTAGTTGAAGATTATATGGGAACTTAAATCAGAAGTTCAGAAATGAGAGAAAACTTATCAAGTTTATATTTGAGAATATTTTGAAACAAGATTCCTAATTTGAGCCAGTAAACTCACAGTCTAATAATATAGGTAGTATGTTTGTTTTTCATCCTTCCACTAACTGAAACTATTGTATACCTTTATTAGCTCTTAAAGTGTCCTCAGAGGCACCCCAATTGTAACTGGAGGAAAAAGAGAAGAAAAAATACCTCCACCATTGTTGTAGGTTAGGTATGGGAATCTCCACACATTTCCCAGTCCCACTGCATATCCAACCATAGATAGAAGATAATCCGATTTTTTGGACCAGTTCCCACGGTCCTGATTCTCATCATTTTCACCAACATGGAAATTCTCAGATGAAGCCGTCACCTTCTGAGGAAGGAAAAAAATATCTTTCTACCATTACAAATTCCACAGAAGCAAAATTTCAAAAATCTATAGAGTTACAGAAATGGAGGAAAAGAAAGAACAAACCCTGTGTACATCCTATCCAAGGGAAAATCTTTCCAAAATAGGAGAGATTTCTGCTGGTAGCTGCATTTACTCAACATTTTCTCCCTCGAGAAAAAAGTCTGTAGGTAGATATTTCTACTACTCCTTCAGCTTAAATCATCCAAAGTTTAGTGAAAAGGTTAAATGTCATGCCAGCATAAAAGGCAAACAGAAGAGGAAAAAACAGGTTTCAAGTACAAAAGTCTTAAGAATGAATTAGGAAAAGTTAATGTTCTTCAGATTGTAGCAGATCTTTGAGAAGGAGGATCAAATGTAGTTTCTACAGGAAAAAAAAAATCACATACTCCCTTTCTTATGTGCTGACCATTTTGGAAATTTGGAGTTGAGGGCAGTTTAACCTCTCTTCCCTGTCTTGGAGCATAAAATCAAAAAGCCACAGAATAATATGCAGAGACAATTTTCCTGTCCCACCAGGTGGAGCAACTCTCTCTGCACTTGTAAGTAGGAGGAGAGGGGTTCTCTCTCAACCTATTAAGTGCTCTGGGGTATCAAGGTTTCAGATAAGGACAGTGCACTTTCACATTACCCTCCAGCATATGGCCACAGTTTAGAGACGGACAGAGAACAGGATTTCATAGACACTTCCCAGGCTGAGGTAGTTCTAAGTCTCCTAGCTGCCTAAATAAGAACTATTCTCTTGTTCCTCTACTCTACGGGGCTATCTCAGGCACACCTGAAGATAATTGAACAGAAATGAAGAACACAAGGAGCAGCCACAGAAGGCAAAACCTAAGCCTAACTAACCCTCCCTCTTAAGTTTTCCCTTCCCAGGCCCTCCACACCTCCAGCAGCTCTCAGACCCCTACCTCCTTCACCCTGCACTTGAAGAAGCTGGGGAACTTCAATTTGTCCATGGTTCATTCAGTCCCTCGGCTTGCTCCGCCTTGCCTCTTCTCACAGTCGGGCTGAGCTTGACTGGTAGCAGGTGCACACTCCCCCGTTCTTACCTGCCAGAGTGAGCCACCTTGCCCAGGGGTGGGACCATTTATGGAGGGAAGCTCTCCCTTCCCCCCTCCCAGGCTTCCAGTCGTGTCAATTACCGGAAGGGACCTAAGTGAGGCTCAGGTTTTTCCCCAGGTAATCCTGCATGTAGCAATTCCCTGCCCCGGCCCCAGGAAAGGGCTGGGCTGTGAGCTAGCAAGCAGAGCTGCCTGAGCTAGGATGACTGACAGCCTTTGACTCAGAGCTGTGCAGGTGCCTTAGCAATCTTGCCTCCTTTCCTGGATTCCTTGCTTCCTCCTAACCTCGCCTCTCAGTCTGGTCTCTGTCCTGGGGCCAAGTGCTGATCTACCCTGATTCTGGAAGGTGGGAGAGACACAGTCTGTGGGGCCAATTCTGTTCCTCAAGATTCCCCTAAACAGACCATACCGCCCTGGGCCCTCAGATTTCCCAAATATTTGCCCCTCATTAGAAAGCTTTTCATCCCCTGGGGCAGACAGTGCTCCCAGAGGGAAAGCCCCTGAATTGGGCACCTTGAATCACAGCCAGCTAAGATAAGATTACCCAGCTGGCTCTGCCTGAAAAGAGTGACTTTGAGTCTATGTCTCAAGCTTCTTTCTCCACCTTCAGGACAGTTTTGCCTTTTACAAGGATTGCTTTGTGTAGTATTTCAATGAAGCCAAACACAAACAAATTATTGAGCAGGTTTATGGGAAATTCTAACCTAACAAAAGAACTAGACTCTGCAAGAAGGGTGAGGCCTAGAAAGGTAAACTGTAAGGAAACATCCCAGTTTGAGTGGGGAGGAAATAATTATTATTAAAATACTGTTTTCATCAAAAACTCAAATAATTTAAACATAATTCATCCAATGAGTAGTTCTGTGAAACATAGCACAAACTCCTGCACACAAAGGAACCAGCAAACAGCCAGATTCTATATCCTATGTTAAGGTCCTTTGTTCCTACTGGCTGACAAGAAAGTTCCATTTGCAATAGAAATATGCCTTCAGGAGTCCAGTGAAGTAAAGGAAAGTCCATGAGGGAAGTTTGAAAGAAAAAGTATCAATACGTTTCAGGTAGCTTGATCTTGAATTTAACAGACTGGGGTGTGTGTGAGTGTACGCACACGAGCATGAGAAAAAGAAAGAGTATGAGCATGTGCCTTTTAGTACTACCTAGTACTGACATGTGCCTAAATGTTAAAATGAAATTATTATGGTAGAGAGGGTAAAGTGAAGGGCCCACAGAACTCTTCATAAAAGGATGAGCTGAAAAGTAAATCTAACAGCATTTACCAAACTATCAAAGTCCTGAAGAAATGAAAGAGACCCATCATGGGCCACCACCAACTGTTGGTAACTGAGAGAGTAGAAAGACACTAGAAACCCTAAGGATAGAAAGATTATGGGGATCAAAATTCAGAGGTAAGTTATATTTAGAGAGAACAAAAAGCAATTTTGCCTGTATGTTACACAGTACAGAAGTTTCAATCACCTTTGAGATTAGAGCACTTGAAGCAAAAAATAAAATAAAAGATGTTTTAAAGAATGTATTTTGTTTGTTTGTGTAGGGGGTGGTATTCCCATTGCCAGGCATGGCCTTTCATAACTTGACTTCTGCCTTTTTACTATCATCTCTTGTCATTCTTTATCTCATACTCTTAAGTTTGTATGTCCTATCCCGTACATACTGTTTTGTTTCTCACCTCTGTGCCTTTGCTCATGCGATTGCTTCTTCTGGAAATTCCCACCTCTTCTTTATTTGGGTAACTACTACTCATCCTTTAAGACTCTGCTTAGGTGTCTCCTTTTCCAGGTTATTCCACAACAGTTCTTCCTGTATTACCAAAGACTAGGTTTGAATGCCTCCGCTCTCTATTCCTATGCTACCCTTTGATCTTTTTCCATTGTGTAAGGTCATTTGCTTATAGTCCTCTAAGCTGTGAGTTCTTTGAGGACAGGGAGACATTTTTAAAGTTTTAGAAATAGATTTTAAAACATACTAAAACATAAAATGTATAGGTTAATGAGTAACATAATGTTTTCATTCATTTATGTACATTATGTAGTGTTTAGGACAGTATAAACATTTGTTTATCTCCTCAAACGTTAATCATTTCTTTATGGTGAAAACTTTCAAATTATTTTTTCTAGATTTTTATACATAAAATATGGAATTATTATTTACAGTTATCATACTACTCAACAGTGCACCCAGAGCTTCTTGCTCCTAAGTGTAAATTAATATCCACTGACCAACTTTTCACCATCCAGCTCCCACTGTCTCCATCCTCTCTAGGAACCACCATTTTACTCTCAACTTATATGAGATCAAATTTTGATTTCACATAAGAGTTATATCATGTGACACTTGTCTTTCTGTGACTGGTTTATTTCATTTAACATAATGTTCTCAAGTTATCCATATTGTTGCACATGAAAAGATTTCGTTCTTTGTATGGCTGAATAGTATTCCATTGTGTATATGTACCACATCTTTGTTAACCATTCATCTGCTGATGGATATACACTTAGATTGTTTCCATTTCTTGGCTATTGTGAATAATGCTGCTATAAGCATGGGAGATAGATGTGTCTTCAACATACTGATTCCATTTCTTTGGGGTATATACCCAGTAGTTATTGGATTGCTGTATGATATGGTAGTTTTATTTTTAATTATTATTTTTTTTGCAGTACTGGGGATTGAACCCACAGACATTTTACTACTGAGCTATATCCCCAGTCCTTTTTACTTATTTATTTTTTGAGGCAGGGTCTTGCTAAATTTCCCAGGTTGGCCTTGAACTGCAATTCTCCTGCCTCAGCCTTCTGGGTCACTGGGACTACAGGCATGCACCATCATGCCTGGCCCATTTTTAATTTTCTTGAGAAACCCAAGGAAGTCCTTTCAATCTTATTTTTAATGACCAAAATTAAAGAAGACTCATTACCTAAAGCTTTCTTCTAGTTTATTTGGATATGGACAATTTGTGCAAATGAAAAGGCATTTGAGCACTCTTGTGAAACCCAGTGATTTATTTAGCAACTACATGGTTTTCTAGCCTCATCCCAGAAGAACTCTTTTCTAATTTTTTAGTATTTTTTAGTTTTTATTTCCTCATTTTTATTGGTGCATTATAGTTTTACATATTCATAGGATTTCTTACATATTCATACATGCACACAATATAGCAGTATAATTTGGCCAATATCACTCACCAGCATTTCACTCCTCCCTCACTGCCTCCCACTCCTTGATCTCTTTCTCTACTGATCTCACTTTGATTTTTAGGAGATCCACCCTCACTTTTCATTTTCTTTTTTCTCTCCAGTTTCCACATATGAGAGAAAACATATGACCCTTAACCTTCTGTGTTTATTTCCCTTAACACAATGGTCTCTAGTTCTACCCATTTCTCTGCAAATGACATTGTTTCATTTTTCCTTATGGCTGTATAAAACTCCATTTTGTAAAAATACCATATTTTCTTTATCCAATCATCCATTGATAGACATATAGGCTGGTTCCATAGTTTGGCAATTGTGAATTGTGCTGCTATAAACATGGGGTATGCACTGTAGTAAGATGCTTTTAATTCTAGAAGAACTCTTTTAAAATCTCACCAGCTGAAAATTTGAATGAATACACTAGTCAACAGTAAAAATAAATAATATATTTATAAAATTCCTATCATAGTAAGTGTGTATACATGAGTTATGCTTTAAGGGTTTAGTATCAGACATTAACTATTTTTTTAAACTATTGTATTCTACTCAGTCCAAACATTAGTTAATTATTTCTAGAAAGGTTTACTTTATTTCTAGGAAGCAAGATTTATTTAAGAAAGGCAAACACAGAACAGGGTGTGTAACTCAGTAGTAGAGCACTTGCCTAACATGTGCAAGGTCCTGGGTTCAATCCCAAGCACCACACACACACACACACACACACACACACACACACACACACACACACACACACACATACACACATAATCACATAGATATTTTTGCTATCAGCCAAGTTGGAAATGAGTCTTTATATTAATTAGTGAATTAACAGAGAACTCATATGATACTTTCTTATAGAATACAAAGTACAGTGTGCAAGAGAACCTTGAAGAAAACGGTTGTTCCTGATACATAATTTCATATTGGTGCTTTGCAAGCTGAGAAAGTGAATCTGTTAAATTTTGTGATTTTTTTACACTGGCTATAGAATACTATAGAGTTTTTTTTAAGTGTAAATTTTATATGAAAGTGCAACGTGCCAGGCATAGTGGTACACATCTGTAATCCCAGCAGCTTAGAAGGCTGAGGCAGGAAAATCACAAGTTCAAAGCCAGCCTCCACAACTTAGCAAGACCTTGTCTCAAAAAAAGGGGGGTGGAGGCTGGAAATGTGACTCAGTGGTTAAGTGCCCCTGGGTTTAATCCCTGATACCAAGAAAAGAAAAGAAAGTGATACGCATACCAAAAGTGCACAAATCATGTAGGTGTTAAGTTTGATGAGTTTTCACAAACTTAACATTCCTGTACAACTAGCAGTAAGTTTAAGAAACAACATTATCACAACCCTCATTACCTCCCCAACATTAACCACTATCTTGAATCTTCAGACCATAAATTATTTTTTTGCCAATTTTTGAACTTTCAATGAATGAAATGTTGTATCTGACTGCATCTGACTCAATTTTCTGTTTTGGAGATTCTACCATATTTTATACATACCTGTTATCATTTCATATAGTATTACAATGTATCAATATACATTAATACTATTTACATATTCATTTACTGATGGATATTTGAGATGTTTCCAGCTTGGGGATATTTTCATAGTCCTACTATAGATTCAGCTGACCCTTATGAAGACAATCAGTGCTGGGTGCTTAAGGTGAGGGCTAGATTTTAGTACTGTGGCCTAGATGCAGAGATAGAAACATTATTCTCTAAGATGGTAATAAACATGTAGGGTTTGCAGCCCCAGGAAAACTTAGATGCTTCACTATAAAGTATCTTTTTTTACTAAATCTCTTTAACCAAATTAATCCTTAATATG